TATAATTCTCCCCATGACTCGAGGCTAAAAAAAAATCGTTCCACTTGTAAATATTGCAAGAAAATTGGACATATCAAAGACAAATGTTGGAAACTTCATGGAAAGCCTGCAGACTGGAAGCCTTAACATGGAAGGAAATATCAAGAGAAAAAGACAAATGTTGCCACCACACCAAAAGGAACGAGTGAACCACTCACCAAGCAATAACTTGAAGTATTGAAGAAACTCCTTGTAGGTGAGTCATCGGTGCACACTAACCTCGTGACACAACAAGGTAATTTATCATTATCCTATCTTGCCAGTAATGAGAGATTTAGAACTTGGATCACAGATTCAAGATCCTTCGATCATATGATCATAGACTTCAATACTCTAGTCAACTATCAAGAGGCTCCTACATCTAGATCAGTAATACTTAGAGACGGATCACACTCAAATATTATTGGTAAAGGAGATATGGAGCTAGTTCTCTTAGGATATTACACTTTCTTTTGTTTTATATGTTTCACAATTAGACTTCAATTTTATTTCAACCAATAGGCACCCATGATATGAAATGTCTAACTAAATTCCTTGCAAATTCTTATGAATTTCATGTGGTGGAGTTGGGAAAGGTGATTGACAATACTGAAATGCATCATTGCTTTTACTTGCTCTTGAAAAGTCTCTCTCTAAACACACAAATGATTTCACCTCCATATTTACCTCAAATTTTCGAGTTTGTTGGGTCTATGCTTGTTGAAAAGTAGGCCGTGTTATGACATTGTCATCCATATCATTCTAATTTTAATTATTTTGCTAAGTTGTATTTTTATTTGTTTATCAATAAAAAAATTTAGTTTTTATCAATGTGAATTTTGTTAACTTGCTAAACACAGTTATATTTGAGGACCTTAAAAGGTGAAAATCTTAAGTGGGGTTAGACGAATTGTCTCATTTATTGACGACCACAATAGAATTACCTGAGCATTCTTAAATAACTCAAATATTCAAAAACTTCCATGATATTATTCAAACTCATTTGCAATTTAAAATTTAAAACTAATGCAAATGAATATTTCAATCATATTCTTGGAGCCTTTCTTTCAAAAAATAGAATCATTCATATTAGTTCATGTAATAATATCCCATAACAAAATGGGGTAGCTGAGAGAAAAGAGATTTCTTCAGATATCCCACTCAATTACCATCAAGTTTCAAAATATTTTTGGGGGAGGAGCGATTCTTACTACAACATACCTCTTTGGGTATGTATCCTTTGTTCACAGTCTTTCGCCAAACCACACGAAACTTGACCCTAAATCTATCAATGGTATTTTCTTTTGGTATGTCTTCAATAAAAAGGCATATTTTGTTATTCTCATGTTACCCAAAAATACAACTACATGGATGTCACATTTCTTAAAAAAATAATAATATTGCACCAAGTCTGATGTTCAGGGGGGAGAGTGCAGATGAACATCAATTTTCGGATGCACTTAATGAAACATACACGATCTCACAACTTACTCTTCCATTTCTTTCACCTAACACTTCAATCCTTGTTGAGGATGTCTTAATAATCTAAAATCTATAACAAAGAACTTTGTGCGCACACAAAGAGGAAGAAAGATCTTGAGCAAATGGAAGTCAACTTACAAATATAAAACTGCTTCAACAACAATCAAAGTTCACATTCATCTAAAATTTTCAGGAGAGGAGTCTAGTACTCATGAGTTATCCTCTTCCTCTTCTGGTGTTGATGATAAAGAAAATTGTACTAGATATCCAATTCAGAAGTATGTAACTTATGACAAGTTATTTTTAGCTTATAAAACGTTTGTATCTAACATTGATAGTGTGCAGATACTTAAGTCCATTTGTGGAGTTCTTGAAAATTTGAAATGGAGGAAAGCATTTGAAAATGATATTCGAGCACTAAAACATAAAGAGGCATACTAAACTCCCTCATGATAAGAAGCCAATTGGTTGCAAATGGGTATTTGACATCAAATACAAAATTGATAAGGGTATTGAGAGATTTAAAGCAAAACTTGTTCCAAAAGGTTTTACTTGAGCATATGGGATTCATTATCAGGAGACCTTCACATCATTTGCCAAAGTGAATACTATCATAGTTTTGCTTTCAGTAACAATTAATAATGAGTGGAAATTGCATCAACTTGACATAAAATATGTCTTCCTGAATGGTGTGATCTGGAAGAAGTGTACATGGAGATACCACCAAGACTTGAGAATGATTCCAATAAACACATAGTATGCAACTCAGGAAGTCTCTTCATGGGCTTAAATACTCACCAAAGGCGTGGTTTGACAGGTTGGTTAATACTACGAGATCTAATGAATATTCTCAAGGTTAAACTGATCATATTATGTTCATAAAACACACTCAAGAAGGTAAATTGATGCACTGATAGTATATGTGGATGATACAATTTTTACAAATGATAATGAAAAAAAAATTCTCAATATCAAAGAAGTTCTTGTCATTGAGTTTGAAATCAATGAACTTAGAATCATGAGATATTTTTTTGGTATGGAGGTAACAAGGTCTAAGAAAGACATTGTTATATTACAAAGGAAATACATCCTAGATCTACTAAAGGAGACATGAATGATTGGATACAAACCTGCGGATACTCTAATGGATCCCAACAAGAAGTTTAATAGGGGAGAAGAAAACATAGCTGTGGATAATGAAAAATGTCAAAGATTGGTAGGAAAACTCATCTATCTATCATACACCAGGCTAGATAATCCATATTCTATTAGCATTGTTAGCCAACACATGAATAACCTAAATGAAAAACATTTGAAGATAATATACTAAATCTTGATTTTCCTCAAGTAGACTCCTAACTATTGATTAATATTTAAAAAATTGGAAATAAAGAAGTAGAAGTCTACACTGATGCTAGTTGGGCTGGAGAATTCACTGACAGAAGCTCCACCATTGGTTATTGCTCTTCTGTATGAGAAAATCTGGTTAGATGGAGTAAGAAATAAGTTGTTGATTCTAGAAGCATTGCAAAATCTGAGTATAGGGCACTTGACTTTGGAATCTGTGAAGGGACTAGATTAATAAATTGTTAAGAGAACTGGGGTGTACCTCCAATAAACCTGCATAGATGTTTTGTGACAGTCAAGTAGTTATAAGTATTGCCAAGGATCCTGTGCAGCTGATAGGACCAAACATACTGAATTTAATTGGCACTTCATTTTTGAAAATTTCAACGGTGGAATTTTATTGCTCAGTTACATCCCCACACGTTAACAAGTTGCAAATATCTTCACCAATGCTCTTCCTTTAAGTACCTTTTCAGAGTTTAATACCAAGCTTAGTCTTTACCACATCAACGTCCCAGCTTAAGGGGGGAGTGTGGAAATCTGAAATGATTCCTTAATAGGCGAGCCGACCATCCTTCAAACCTCTCAACATTAGATTGAGAGATATTCTTAATTTTCTTTATTCTTTTATATTTATGTTTTTTTTAATTTTTATTTCATAATATTTCCTTTCCAAATATAGTTTATATATATTTGGTAAATTTCTATATTAGGAGGGATTGGATTCCCTATATATATGTACCTTTCATGTGAATAATGAAGAAAACAATTTTCCTCTCCAAGTAATTTCTACATCATTCAATGAATATCATTAGCAGGTGTCTTCATAACTAACAAAAAAATGATATGATATTAAATGCTGATCTTTAATGCAATTATACTCAATCATATAAAAGCCCTGATATTTAATTTACCTGGTGCACATTCTCCAGCCTTAATTAGCCTAATTGTATGTAGCTGAGATCACAACTTTATATTACCGTGTTAGATAAGTCTTTACAGCTGTTGGAAGTTATATTTTTTATTTTTTTATTTCTGCGTATGAGGCATTTTGTAGATTCAATGCCTGCTTCGCTTCTTGTAGTACAATTGCCCAAAGCATTTTATCTTTTAATATATGAGGCCCATTTCACGTGATTTAAAGATAAAAGCCCAAATGTGACCATCCTATTGGACTAACCATCCATCGGAAGGTTGAGTTGTGTAGCTTGCAATTGTTCCTAACGTGACATTAAATGATAATTCTGCAGTAATTGCATATTTACTGATTTTTTTTCTTAACAATACCGTAGATCTCTATATTTATCAACTTTTGCCAGCCTTGTCCAACTTAATAGCTTGTCCCCCGTATTAGGAGCATCCTCCATTGCATGGTCTCTGGAGGATTGATGTATGGAACCATGTATCCGTAAAGAGGGTTTCAATGACTTGAAACTTGGGATTGATAGATTAACTAGAAGCAACTTAACGGTTGCTTCGGCCCCACAATATTAAATGTATTTTACAATAATGAAGTAAAGACTGTCTTACCTCAATGAAGTTTATTAAACAAATTTTGAACTTGGGGCATTTACATACATACCACAAAATTCTTATATATTTACATATTTAACACCTACACTTTGATATTCACATGCATATCGATCAAATCTTTTAACATTACATAAAAAATGCTACTATTTCTAACCTTTTAACGGTGAAATACACCTTTCATACATATATTTGTAACACCAAAGTGTTATAAATTTAAATATAGAACGGTAGGTATTAGATATGTAAATACATAAGAAAATTGTGCTATGTACGTAAATTTTCCTTGATCTTCACCGAAAAGAGCGTACTGTCGACCTGATTTGGTTCCAGCTTGCTGTATACTCAACCATTCATTTTCTCATCATTTAACTAATTTAATCAATATTGCCTGGCATACATTAGACAAACAGAACTTAGCAAGTTGTTTTAGCTGGCCAAGCTTTCTGCAGCGGACATTTCTTAGCAGTGATGCTAAAGCATAATCTTTTGCATAAGTGCTTCATTTTGGTTCAAATTCTAGTAGGATATCTTTCCACGCGAACAACTTGAGCTTATTTTAATTTTGTGTCCGAGGATGAAATATTATTTAATCATCTTAAAATTTTTTTTCCTCTTTATAGAAATCATTGTTGGAGACAAAGGAAGCTATTGATAGGCACCGCAAATCACTCAAAAAGAGGCAACCTGGTAAAATATTTGGATCACTTGTACCAACATGCTTTTTAACATTTTTTTTTTAAGCAATGCATGTAGTCAGGCCACAAGTAGCCAATTTTTTGCCATAATTTTTGAAGTTGATGATTGATTTCTCAAGTATGCAATGGTAGAAAATAATGACATAAATTTACAGGTCTAGATAGGAGTTCCAATGATATGCCATGGGGTCTAGTTGGTGATTTCATGTATTTGGGAACAATTAATAAGTCTGAAAAGAGTTGTGATGCCAAGTTGACTCCCTAGTACACGAGTAAGGAACCCAAAATGCTCACATTTGTTAGTAGTTGCATCATTGTGCAAAAGTTCCATGAGCCATGATGTACACCGTGGCCTGCATTATTTTAAAAATAGCATAAAATACTACAAAATGATGAATAATTTACTAAAAGTTTACCAATATAAGAGAAAAACATCTTAGTAAAACATCACTATCATCACTATATAAATACAACATCATATTTGATTTAATATATTAAATATTTTGTCTCAAGGTCTGAGCTAATTAGTATCATAAAAATTTCACAATGTTATCATAGGATTTTATGACATTGTATAATTTAGGTTAAGGTCTATGAGTTGTGACAATATTCAGGAGAATGAATAAGAGAGAATTTGTTTTAATCAACTTGAAATAGACATGACTAAGTGTCAGAATCAATTGTTGACATGAATAAGTTAGTTAAAAGCATTCCAATTTTATGTAACACATATTTGATTCACGACTTGACCTTTAGAAGTCATCCTTCATCCAACTATTTGTTGCATGCATTCAAGAGTTTAGTTTTAATAGCAAATGACGGACATGACAAAAAGGTAAATCATCAATATAGTTTAAAGGGAAAGAGACGTACATGGATAAATACCAAGCCCTTTATTGATCATAATTAATTAATGCTTGAAACGATGCATATTTTATCTATTGTATTTAATTATATCTTCGTTTTTAAAGGCATTTCTTGAGTACTTGTATCTACAAGTTAGAGAGTAAAACGAGTCATTATAGCCAAAGATAAAGCTTTGAGAGATTAATGAATGTTTAAATGACTCGAAAAAAGATTTAAGGAAGTTGTCTATATCTTTTTATAATGGAAGAGATAAAGGAGAAGAACATACAATAAGCTCAACTTAAGAGAGAATATTCCTAATAAGTGAATCAACAACTAGGTATAACTTTGCTCCTCTTATTAAAAATAATAATTATAGTTGTGTATCCATTCTATAAGTCTTACCTTACCGAGCAATGCTTGAGCCTATAGACTAAAATCTTGCATGAAAGGACGATAATGATTTCTGCTTCAAATAAATCTGCTATGTTTTGCTAATTAGATGGTAGAACAAATACATTTGCATGATAATTGTACTTTGTATCGAAAATACTCTCATATGTTATATCTATACTCTAAGAATTTTTTTTTTCATTTAGGCATATTAAATATTTTAATCAACTATGACGACGATGACGACAAGCCTTTATTCCACTAAGTGGGGTCGACTATATAAATCCTTTTTCTCCATTGCATCCTATTGAGTGTCATATTTTTATTTAATTCTAATAGATTGAGATCATTTGAGATCATTTTTAATAGATTGAGATCATTTTTTATACAATACGTCCAAGTATTTTTGACATAAGTCAAACTTTAAAACATTTGCTCTCCTAACTGGATCATCCGATGGTCAACATTTAATGTGACGAAATCATCTAAGACGACTCTTTCTAATCTTGTCATCCACTGGAGCTACACCAATCCTATCACGGATATGTTCATTTCACATTTTGTTTGTAAGTGTCAAGCCACTCATCCACCTAATTTCTCATCTCAACAATACTCAACTTTGTTTTATGTTTCATTTTTAAAGGCCAACATTCTACATCATAAAGTATTGCGGGTCTCACCATCATCTTATAAAATTTTCCTTTTAGTCTAAGCGGTATTTTTATATCAATATCACACAAAAGGTCTGAAGCATTCCTCCACTTCAACCAACCAACTTTAATTCTGCTAATAACTTGCCCACCTATATCTTCATCGCTTTGAATAATAGATCCGAGATATATCTAAATCGTTCACACCTTTTAATGGTTTGATTACCCATAGTTACAACTCTATCACTAGAGGTACTACTACTAAAATTGCATTATGTGTATTTAGTTTTAGATCTACTCAAACGAAGGCCTTTAGACTCCTATGTAGACCTCCATAATTCAAGTTTTTCCCCAACTTTTTTTCTTCTCTCATCCGCAAAAAGGATATCATGAACAAAAAACATACACCAAGGTACATCCTCCTATAAATGTCCAATAAGAGCATCCATAACTAAAGCAAAAAGATATGGAATGACCTTACATTTAAACCAATTTTTTATTAGGTACACCAAGGCACATCCTCTCAATTTTCTAAGCATTTACATTTAAATAAATTTTTATAACACAACTTCTTATCTTTTATCTTTTCTTGCACCTTATTATTCAACCACCAACTATTTTTAATTATAATTTTTTTTATTCTCCAAGTACATCTTTTGTCACTTGTTTAATAGTATTTGTTACTTTATCTCACATAGAATTTGCTTCTTAATTAACATATCAAATCTTGAAATTTTGATGTTTACTCATAAAAATAATTTTATTAGTGCTTTTAGGTGTCCCCATCTAATTTTATAACAATGTTTTCTTGTATTATTTATCTTACAACTCTTCATCTTAAAATCCAGAACTAATAATTGATGTTAGGTATTTAAATTTTCACTTGGAATGACCTTACAATCTTTACATTCTCAATGATCTTTTTTCTTCATAAGAAAATAACAATATGTGTTTTATTAGGTCCATTCTTATAAGTAATAATATGTTCATCTCTTCTTTTAAATAAATTATTAGTAATAACAAAATTATATGTTAAAACAAATTTTGATATAACTCAACATTCTTCATTAATCACTTCAAAATCGTAGTCATCATGAATATTTCTAAAATCTTCTACTGCTCTACCAACATTTCGTATAAATTTACTCCAATAAAACATCTTTCTTCAAGAGGTATTATTTGAATTAGTTTTTCTAAGTCATTCCTGATTTTTTTCTTCTTTTGAGCCTATATCTAAACATGCTTGAGGAGCATAAAAACTTATAACATTAAAAATCTTAGTATCAACAATAATCGTTAGGGATATAATTTTATCTTTAATTCTTTTAAATTTTACAACATTATTTTTCAAACATTTATATTTAATTACACCTACACCATTTCTAGTGTGACTCCCAACCTGAATACCAAAGTTTAAAATCTAAGTTATCAATCTCCTTAGTTTTTTCTCCAACTTATTTTGTCTCTTGACTGCATAAGTTATTTTTCTTTCTATGAACCATAATATCAACTATTTCATTAATTTACTTGTAAAAGTACATATTTTTCAAAATCCTATTCTAATATTGGTTTCATGGACTAAATTCTTTACTTACATCTGTCTATAGTGTGCGAACCTTTATTTATTTGACATTATACCCGGATAGCGATGTAGCTGCCTTACATACCTTTTACTGTATCCAGACATTACAGTGCGCTGCTTCTAGAAGACATCGTAGCATTTACACAAGGATTTAAAAGATTTTGTCATGATTTTTTCGACAAATTTTACGCAGGCTATTGATTACCTAACACGACCCTTCACTTTTCGCATCCAGGACTTGGAAACCAACAATGACTATGTTATTTTAATTGTCTAAACTACAAAAAAAAAAATTAGGAAACAAAGTAGCACATGTCAAGTGCGCTATGCACTATAGCACATATAATGCATATTATTTTTCTTTGTTAAGCCTTGTCATGCAAAGAGCTAAGTGCGTTGCATTATTCTATTTTGCAAGACTTTACATGTCTTTTATATTATCTTATTGCTTTTTATCAGGTTTGATTTGTTCTTTTTTAGACTTTGCAATGCAATTTTTAGTTGATTAATCTTTTCTTACAAAACTGTGAGAATGTCTAGACCTTTGATGGTACAAACCGTATATATTGGTTTAACTAGATGCATGATACCCCCTTTTGATTGACACGTGCTTGAAGATTATATAGATGGGTTAGGAAGGCGGGGGACATTTATATGGAAATTCTTTTTTATTCATTTACTTTTGTGAAGATTAAATGGGCTAGGAATTAGGAGGACATTTCTATGAAAATTGTTTTTTTTTCTCATTCATTTATTGTTATGTTATTGATGCTAACATGAATTATGACATATTATTCTGATTATGATGCTCCTTGTACTCATTATTAGCTTTTGCGTAAATTTTGTCACCATACCCCTTTTTTTGGCCATCTAAATCTTTCAATTTGTTCTATCATGTAAAATTTTAATTTTATATCCGCCAACTATTCCTGTGTCAGTTGATTCATAATAAGTGATAAAATTTGTTGAAGCCACTTCTTAGTAGCTACATGTTACCCATTGAATCTTAATTTTCGTTAAATTTTGAAGTTAAGGGCTTGCATGACTTTTTTGTTTGTAGATAAGGGTGATGGAGGTGACGTTGAAACTGGAATGTCAGAAGAAGATTTTCTCATACAAGATGAAATTTGTAAATCTCGCTTAACATGCATCAAACGTGTAATCTCCTTTTTCCTTTTTTTGACAATTTTATGCATATGATTTCATTTAACTTGACATTGATAATTTTTTTGGTTGTTAAGCAAGTTATTCATGTTACTTTCCTTCTGCACAGGAGGAAGAAAATTTTCTGAGAGAGAGGGACCGTTATGAATTGGAGAAGGCAAGGCTTATTCGTGAAATGAAGCGTGTAAGGGATGAGGATGGCTCTCGTTTTAACAATTTCCAAGTTCTTAACCACCGATACGCTCTTTTAAACCTGCTGGGAAAGGGTGGCTTTAGTGAGGTTTACAAAGTAAGTCTGCAAGTACATTTCTTAAATTATAATATATTTAATACCGCAGATTTAAACTTATTATGGGATTTATTTATATGTTCTCCCGTCAAAGTGTCAAGACTTAAGTGTGCTACAGTTGTATTTTTTTTTTGGGTAGACATGGAGCATAGTTTTCTTGCCCAATGGTTATAGACAGTTTTTATTTATTTATTTTGCTTTCTTATGCTTTGCTTTTTTCTCATTGATTTGAAGTGGTAACTTTTTATCAGGCATATGATTTGGCGGAGAATCGATACGTTGCTTGTAAGCTTCACGGTTTGAATGCTCAATGGAGCGAAGAAAAAAAACAGAGTTACATACGTCATGCAGTTCGTGAATACAACATACACAAAACGCTCGTTCATCCTCATATTGTGCAGCTGTGGGACATATTCGAGATTGATCATAATACATTTTGTACTGTCTTGGAGTACTGCAGCGGTAAGCTAACTTTCATTCTTGCTTTTTTAGGCATTCTTCTTAAAATAAAGCTAACTTTCATTCTTTCATGCTAGATCACCATCAACATGATTCTTCTTAACTCATTAAATCTATCTCTAATTTCATATGTGGCTGATGATTTTTAGTGTATTATGCTTTAACTTTATAAATATTTAAAATGGAGGGACATTGTTACTGCAACTCGTGGCAATCAGGGACAGTCAGATTCATTCTTTTTAGCTGTTTTTATTCAGGGAAAGATCTTGACGCAGTTCTAAAAGCAACACCTGTTCTTCCAGAGAAAGAAGCAAGAATTATTATTGTTCAGATATTTCAAGGCCTCATATACTTGAATAAAAGAGCTCAAAAGGTTATACATTATGATTTGAAACCCGGAAATGTGCTCTTTGATGAGCTTGGAATTGCAAAAATGACCGATTTTGGTCTTAGTAAGATTGTTGAAGATGATGTTGGATCTCAGGGCATGGAGCTTACTTCCCAGGGTGCAGGAACATATTGGTGAGTTGAATAATTTTTCTAGCGTTTCTAAGTTTTTTACCTTGTGCAAGCTGTAACTATGGAGATAATTTTAAATATTTCTGTTAAATATTCAATCCTCATAAAATTGCTTTAATTGTAGCTTTAAATTGGAATAGCAAATTGATCAGGTTTCTTGTTGCAGAATGTTTTAGGTATGCGACTCATCTGATGAGTGAGTTATCAATTTCTGAACTTAGGAAGATGTGTTTTTGGTGAATGTGCGACTTCTTATTTCTTCATCTACTATACTTTATGATGAAATTATTTTGGGATCATTAACCAAACTGGAGTGATTGACCTCTTTGAGACGCGCTTTTGTTGATGAAACACTGTTTTTGTATCTATATCTAGTTGATTCTATAGTCAGATTACTCTGAGTGACCTTATAAACTTTTTTTTCCTTAGATTATGGTGCATTCATATAGACCTCTGCCTTGGCGATTAGTTTTTGCTTCATTGTTTGCTGTATTGGTTCTGGTCAGGCTAGTTTGTGCAATTTTTCTTATTGACTTAATTCTAGGTTATTGCAATATGTTGAAATATTAGAGTAGAGCAGCATATCTTATTGATAGAAAGAGTGGTATATAAACCCTATAGAAGAGACACTCATAAGAAAAGAAATAAAAGTAGAATAAAAAGATTAGGAAAGAAATAAAAACAGAATAAGGGAATGTGAGTGCTATATGTACAATAACCTCGACGTACGTGTGAGATTGATAGACTAGTAGAGAATTGATTGGATCTAAGTAGCTTGATTAAGTACTCCATCCGACTTTTCAAAGAGTCGGAGGATTCCAATATGTTTTGGGCAAGAGCGGTTGAATCGTGGTAGACTCAAATGTTGCAGTATGACTCGTGCAGCAAAGGATTTGGCCAAGTATTTGTTATGTCAGTTTTTTGTGGTGCTTCCAACACTCGTCACGAGTGTGGTTGGGTTTGTGATAATAATCACAAGTGGGGTGATTTGCCCGAGAGGGCTGAGTACTACTAAAGACCAAAGCGGGCGATTTAGTTGAAAGGGTGGAAGTACCGAGTATGACAAGTCTCTAGCTCTTTTTACGGTGAATCTCGGTGAAAGCAGTGTGAGCGAAAGGAAGAGGATCCAAGCTAAGAATACAGCCCTGAACTTCGTCAAGTTCTTTGTTGAGGCTTGTCGGGAATTGGAATATGCGATCATTTTCAATATTATTTTGGAAGAGAGAAGGGTCGGAGAGTCCCAAGTGTAGTCGTAGTACAAGTCGCTTTTCGCTTTCCATCTATAGTGCAATCAGGTCATTGCGGATCAACTGAGACACCTCATAGAGTTTGCTGGAGTTTTCTACATTAAGTAGATATCACGGATCGTCGTCCGGAGGGCATTAGTGGAAGGGAGGAACATATATGATCAGGTTTCCATAGAGTTATCCATTTCCCAAGCTTCATATGATGGGTCAGTCTTTGGAGGTTTACAAATCATGTCTGTGAGGTGATCGAATTTCCTGCGTCCTTTGATGAATAAGGCTACGCTTGTGACCATTGGAGAAAGTTAATGTTGTTCAGTTTGTGAATTGTGGTCAAGAAGTTCATGTTATTTTTTGGTTCTTCGGTCTGCACAAAAATAGAGGTTGGAATCGAACCTCCGATGGAATCAGGAACACTTTCTGAGGATGGCTCAATGCTGGAAGAGTTTGCCATGATTCTGATTGAGCCAAAGGAAATTTGGCTGGGATTCCGAGACATCGTCGGATTTCAGCTGTGGATCACCGGCTGTTGATGCAAAAAATAGGTAATTCGGATAACTGCAGGAGAGAGATCACCCGCCGAAGAAAAACAATAGGGAGGACATGCGGGGACAGCTGGCGAGAGACTTTGCACCTGCAGGGAAGAGGCTGACGGTTGTCAAGGAGGCCAGTGGTTGTAGAGGACAACAGGGGAGGGCCGACGGCTGCAAACTTTAGCTGGAAGGGTGCTAGCAGTTCCTTCCGGAGACCCTACAAGGAAGGCCGATGGTGGCTGGGATCTAGTATCCCAATTCTGATACCATGTTGAAATATTGGAGTAGAACAAAATATCTTATTAATAGGAAGAGGGGTATATAAATCCTATTACAAGGGGCACTCATGGAAAAAAATAAAAATAGAATAAAGGGAAATAGGAAAGCAAATAACAACAAATAAAATAAAATTTGCATATTAATAATGGCTAGGAATAGCTGTTATTATTTTAATATTCTAATACAATAAATTGTCCATGTAATTTTTCTATAATTTATCTGTTACTAGAGTTATTGTAAGAGGAATCTGAACCAATGTTTGAATTCATTTGAAATAACGAATTTTGAAGTGGGCAGGGGAACTTTGATATTTAGTCTATGCAAATCTTTAATGTTTCTTATATAGAACTTCGCTAATATCATTTGTGCTATTCTTGGCTTCTTAGAGGACTTAAAAAACAAGTGAACCCCAATAGACATCTTTCCCATTTATTCCACCCTGGGAGAGACTTTTTTAATGGATATGTTTAAGAATTCAGCATTCTTAAAGCATATGGCTCAGCCGATAATTTCTCTCCCACATGAACTTGTTCTGGGAATTTATTTTATTATGTTGGCTCCGAAAGCGGCAGAGCCTAAAGAAGGTAATAACCTGGAATTTTCTCCTTTAAATACCGAAACCTCTCAAAATTTCTTGTTGCATTGTTTTTAATATTTTTATTTTTTAGAATCGTTATCATTTACTGGTGCTGACATATCTGTTGGGTCGCTGATCGTGCTTGCTAATCTCAGGTATCTGCCACCGGAATGCTTTGAGTTGAGAAAAACACCATTGATATCATCAAAGGTCAGTGAAATTACCCGCCACATATGATAATTTTAATCCTGCAACTTAATTTGTTAGCTCTAGAACAGGCAAATAAAGCAATAACAAATTTAGGATATTTAGGCTTTTTATGTTAAGGTTGTGGGGAAATTTCAAGCAATGGCAAAGGCCATAGGGGATAGGTAATGTGGCAGTGAAATGTCTTTGGTTCTATAAGTTGATCTGTGCAACCTTGAAGGTAAAAGTTAGTTTTACCATGAAAAGATAACATATCATTTTTTTAAAAAACTGGAAATGATTTTTCCTTTCAAACTGCTCAAGTACCTGTCATAGCAGTTATTAAATCTTCATATTCTTTTTCCTTGGCTCAAAAGAAATCAATTTTCCTAAACCTAAAGATTTATATTCTAGAATTTTGCCAATTCTCTGCATTGATGCTCCTTGTAATTTTTAAATCTCTTCTTATATTGCACCATGTACAAAAGCTGATCTTGCAAGATAAGCTCACTGACTAATTATTTTTTATTTTAAGTGATGCTTCAATATTCAAAATTAAGTTATCTGTAACTACTTTCTATTATTTCTTATGTCATGAATCTTTAAAATTCATGCATGTCGAGCTTAGCTTCATTCTTACAACTTCGTGCTTTCCGGCGATGTAAAATGAAAGATTTTAGACAATAAGAGAGCTCATTGTTGATCTCAATACAAATTGCACTACTTGACAATGTCGAACACATCGCCAAAATGAACATTGATTGTTGTGTCATGTAAATTATGGTATTTATGTCTCGATCATGCTCGAAGCCATCCAAAACATTGACCAATTGTAAAATGGACCACTCCATTGCATCTGGAGCATTTGGATTACCTAAAAGAGGTTTTCTATGATTGAAACAACTACAATGTGAGAATGACGGATCGCCGGAGCGATGCACACAATTTGAATCTGATATGCCTTGGTTGCTGTCGAAATTACACAAATGTCCTTCATTCACTAAACAAACTATACGAGCAAGTTCAGGACGTCAAAATTACCTATAAATGGCCCTCGTATTGTCTGGGTTCTGCATGACGTATGATGAGACAATTCGAGGCAACAATTTGAACTTGAAGTAATGAAGATGCGTGTGCAGAGATTAATACACAAGCAACTCTATTTAAAAATATAGATATAGGGTAGGATATGGGAAACAAACGGGACTGGGATAGGGTTAGATGGGATTGAAATTTGAATTTTCCCATTCCGACTACATCTTAACATGACATCTACCCCCTAACTTCAATTTTTTTTTTTAAAAAAGCCAAATAAAACCTAAATTACTATCAAAACCAAGAACTTTCTCTTCTAAGCCATTCCCTTAAACGATATTGGGCTCTTTTTTTTTTTCCGAAACTAAAAGTCCCAATTGAATCTTCTAACTCCTCTGGCTAACCTTCAATCCGGCTGCCACCCTCCTCTGATTCCACTTTCTATTGCACAACCCCAACAAAGCTCCTTTTTGCTGCTCTTCTGCTGTGGTTCTCTCAAATCAGCTTTTTTAACTTCAGCCTTCCCAGTTCTCTCAATCGCAACGACCTGGCCTGAGCTCAACCTAGGCACTCTCCATTCTTTGTTACCTTTTCATCTTCTTCTGTTTCATACAAAAGTACACACAAATGCCCTTTCATCTTTTTCTTAGGCTGACAAAAGTCATGCTCTTTTTGTTTGTAATAACGTTCGACTGGTACTTTGAATTTCTTATTTTGCATTATTCTTCTTAATGAAGCAAATGACCAATTTTCTTGTTATTTTCCTGTCTGAGCCATTTTGCCTTGTGCTCGGACTAACCTTGGTTCTAAAGTTTAACCTCTGATGCCTTTTTGTGATGTGCAGGTTGATGTCTGGGCAGCTGGTGTGATGTTGTACCAAATGCTTTTTGGTAGACGCCCCTTCGGACATGACCAGACACAAGAGAGAATTCTCAGGGAGGACACCATAATCAATGCCCGCAAGGTGGAGTTCCCGCCAAAGCCTTCTGTTTCAAATGAAGCAAAGGTGAGAAAGCAAGTTCTCGTGTTTACTCCATTTTTATAATTTAAATTTAATTCTCCTAATATCATCGAATTTGTCATTAGGTTGATTTTGATGAATCAAAATGTAGTTCGATCATGAGTTTTATCCAATTTATTTCGAGCCTGCTTTATACATTTATAATAATGGTTCCTTGTCTGTTTTGCAGGAGCTAATTCGTCGGTGTTTGACATATAACCAAAATGAGAGACCAGATGTGCTAACTATTGCTCAAGATCCATATCTCTCTTACTTGAAGAGGTAGTCTGCCACATATTGATGCCTAATTTTATATAAATCATGTGTCGTAAAGTTCTACCCATGCAAAATCTTTCTGTGCATTTTGTAAAGTTCCTGTTTCACTGGTAATTTTTTCCCTCTCTTGGGGTTTTTTTGGCAAATGTCCTCCTTTACTGTAGAGAAAACTGTAGAGCTTGTTACAGTAGAAAACATATTTTTTCTCTAGATAATGAAAAGGAGATATAGCATATCCCATGATTCAAAAAAATTTTTTTTTTTTTGTGGTGATCTTTTAGATGCAATTCGCAATTCTCATTTAGTAGCAACATGGAGATTGTGGTTTATTATGATTTATATAATTAAAGTGGATGTAAATGCAAACGTTGATCTACCTGGCCTTGTTTGTCTCATGCTATTTGGGTTCTGAACAATTTAGAAATTGGAATTATGGCAAATTAACCTTTGCATTTGTCCTTTTTTCAAGGATATACTGCTAAAATTATCTATTTTATGGTAAAGTTATCTTTTGTTCGACAGGGAAAAAACATTGAGAAAACCAAGTGATATTCGTTAATTACTCAGTACCCAATTTCACCTTTCTAGAAAGCTTATGGAGTGTATAAAATGAAGGGGGGCAATCATATACATAGCTCTCGAAATATTACTATTTACAAATTTAGCATCGTGCTTAATTCATCCATTTTTCAAATTCTCAATTAAATATCAAAATTCATGATAAAATCACAGGCCCATATTATTCATTTTTATCAAACTCTCAATGGTTTGGCCATGTGGCACCTGCAAATGTATCGGTTCGATGGTCCAAAAAGATCATCCATGCGCTAATTATGTAAATGGTGATGTTCGAGTCTTTTATGTGTAATGTTACAAAGCACCCTCCCACTGCTACCACATTAAAATCCACACTAGTATTATTTTATTTTATTTTATGTTTTGAAAGCTTGAAAATCACGAACAAATTTGTTGCAAGAGGAGTTTGATCCCAAGAACTTGGCAATAAATTTTATGACCTTTCATCATTTATATTAATTGTCATCCATTTAATGCTTTTAAATTATAAAGTGGTGCAGCTGTGTTTGGTGCATTAAACAGCTTGTAGTAGTCTTGACTTTGTGCGTCCATTTGTGTAAATCCTGCCACTTCTTTGTGGATAGGGCTGTCAAAACGGCTCGTTGTTCGTGAACAACTCGTGTTCGGCTAGTTAATTTCGTTCGATGAGTTAACGAATTAACGAGCCGAACACGAACTAAGATGTGTTCGTTCGTGTTCGGCTCGTTTTGGCTCGAAATACTATTCATCAAGTTTATATATATTAAGTAATATTTAAAAAAAATCTAATTGGCTACAAGACTACAAAGATTTATAATCAATTAAAATATTAATTAAGAAAATAAAATAAAAATTATTAAATTAGATTCAAATGATTTTTTAATATAAATAATAATTTTTAAATCTTGCTGTTAAGCAAACGAGCCGAACACGAACACACTTTTGGAGCTTGAAATATAAACGAGCCGAACACGAGCGAGTAATACACACATATACAGGCCGCTACAAATGCGAATAACAGCCCAAAGGCTGACCCAACCCATATGCATTGTTCACTTCCTTGAAACTCTTAATTTGTATACATATTTTCTTGGATGGGCTGTAAGAGAACATTATATTAGTGGATATTTTTTAATTAATTTAGTGAATCAATAAATAATTTATTTCATCGGTACAATTAAGTATTAAAAAATATTACTTGGATTAAATTCTTAAGCATTATGTTATCATAGGCATAGAAAAAGCAAAATATATCGCCTGAAGTTATCAACATGTTTTCTTATTTCAAACCCGTTCAAATATATAAATTAAATAAGCATTAAAATCATACAGTCTTATTTATATAACGTTAATTTTAAAAATAAATAGATAAATATTATTAAAAACTGCTATTGTAACACAATATTCAATTATTAAAGAACTTTATTAATTATTTATTTTATAATTAAAAATCTCTTATAAAATTTTTTGCTGTGTCATCTCAATCATTACTATTTCACTTTATGTGCTGTATTTTCTTTTTATATGTGAATTGTAAATACTAGAATTGTAACAACTTCAGAATTGAGTGGTTTGTATGTGAATCATCCAGTTATATATATATATATATATATATATATATATATATATATTGTTGACTATTATTTCATTTTTATGAGCATTACAAGAAAGCAAGAAGGCCTTAAAAAAGCCCAAAGAAAAGAGCTCTTTTAAACCCAATGAAAGAAGCGAGATCTGAGCTGTTCGGTATAGCTCCATCATCAATCCAATAAAAAACATCATGCAATCTTTGCGAAAGAATCATGCGGCAGAAAGCAAGAAGAATAATCGATCAATTCAAACTCCAATTCTTTATTTCGTCATTCAAGAATCTCAGATTTCCAGACCCTAACACAGCAGCACTACAATTTCAGTTCTCAGACAACGAGTCCTATACTTAAAAGACAGAGAGAAAGAAGAACCAAAAACTCGATGAAAAGACGGCTTCCATATTACCATCCAATAAAGAGAAGAGAAAGAGGAATCAAGAAGAAACCTAAAAATACTTGACGCAATTTCTTAACATTCTGGAGAGACTGGAGCATTCGAGCAATTGGTCCTGCCCTGACCTGAGGGCCTGCTGCACGCACTTATTCCACGCGAAGTAGTACACCCCGCATCTGGCTGTCTGCACGAATAAGTCGTTTTCGGGCACATTCGACCTTCTTACCTCGTCCCACAGATCAAAATCGCCGTAGATCGGCGACCCATCACTGGGGGAGAGGGAGGGAGAGAGGGAGGGAGGGTAGGAACGCGGAGAACTTCTCGGGGAGAAATTGGGGGTGTTGGCAAAGTAACGCTTCTCCGAGGAGGTATCGGAGGACGGGGGATAATCTGTAGAAGAGGAAGTACCAGTTGAGGAGGAGGAGGAAGGGAATGGGAACGCCATGGCAAGGGAGAGAGAGGGAACGAAGAGCAGGAAAAGTTGGGTGGATTCAGATTTCATGTTATTTATAATTTAGTATTACTTAGACCTTTCAAAGTAACTTAGTTAATAATATAAATTGTATATCAAAATGAGAGCCGATGGTTGCAGAGACTGATTGGTCACCTCATTCGGCCGGCTAGCAAAGTCAATCGGCAAATCATATCGCTGGATGGACAACAACAAAAATTTGCCAAAAATACTGAAAAGAAATTAGATATACAAAAATGTGCTGATGAAGTCAATAATAATTTGTAACATTCAAGGACAATAATAACTTGTAACTCCCATGAACAATAATAACTTGTAACTCATAGGGGAAATGATGTAATTTTTGCACTTTTATCCTCCTATCATCTATAAATAGGAGGATTTTTTTTTTTTCACGTAAGATGACTCATGTCATTTGGACTTTTCAACCAGTTATGCATTGCTCTCTCATTCGCTTATAACAACTTCTTTTAATATATAAAATGGGCACATAAGCAAGAGGAAGACCCCCACTTTGCCACGCTGTGTCAATCTTTTCACTCTCTCTCACTCTCTCTCACTCCCTGGGTTTCTACACATTCATTGGCTTGATCTACATAACAAATTTAAATTTAACATCCTAAAAAGTGCGGTGAGCTTTAAATTGTGTCGTCAACTAGAAGACAAACAATACTGAGGAGAAACTTTTCAGAGATACACTATAGCAAAAAGAACACAACAGAAACTTGCACAACAGTTGGCTTGTGCGTGGGATAAGTCTGTCACGTGAAAGTCTCCTCGATGTTGGCGTAATTCACCAGCCGTAATGCTGCCACGGCAATTTCTGACCGACCATTGGGTTTCAGCCAATCAATGGCCTCCATACGGCTGTATGCCTCGTGCCGATCATCCCAAAATTAGGGAAGATTTACATACATTCCACTCAATTCTTATGTATTTGTATATTTACATACATATCACTCAATTCATTGTACTTCCAGAAAGTCACCCTCGGTCCGACCACTTTCTTCCGGTCGGTCTCCTGCCTTCGACCGATCATCTTAAAATCAAGGATTTACATGCATACCACTCTATTCTTATTTTTTTCCTTGGCGACAGAAACTTGGGGAACTCTAAAAGTTCACAACAAATGAAAAACTCTTCTCGGAAGCGACCCAATGAAAGACTTCCATCCGAGGCGAGAGAACTCCAACACTTATCATTGAGCAACTATCATAACAGTAAAATAGTCTCATAAATGTAAAATGCTACAACGAAGATGAGCAAATAGGACCAACCGTAGGTTATCTCAACTAAGCAGAGGTCAGTTGGCTGATCTGCAATATAAATAAAAAATTGATCTGAAAAGCCTCAGGAGAGCACTCAGAGACTTGCCGAATTCATTGGAGCATAATTATTGCATTATTGTAATTGTCTTTTTAGCATTCAAAGTTTCTCATTCTTATCGCAACTTCACTTCCATGAAGTAAGAGAATTTGGGGCATTTATGCGTGTCCAAAAAATATCAATGCAGATCTCGATGAGAGCCGACGGTAGCATAAACCGGCTGATCACCTCATTCGACCAGCACGCCCAGCTAACCGATCGGCCATATTACCAGATGAACCCAACAACAAGAAGGTGCTAGACGTACAAAAAAATGTATCAAATATACGAAAATGTGTCAATTTATAACTTTCATTGGCAACGATATAATTTTTACATTTTTATTTTCATATCTTCCATAAATAGGAGGATCTTCTTTCATATAAGGGTGCTCTGTCATTTGAGCTTCCTGGCTATTTAGAGATCATTCTTTCCTTCCCTTGCAATAACTTCTCTCACTCATTCTTCCACTCTCTCTTTCTCAGAAATACAACCTTATTAGTGAGTATTGTTATCAAAGTTAACACCAACATTAAAATTTATGTTTGATTTAATGATTTTTTTGATGATATAGTGACTTGTTTTCGTCATTGGGGTATTTGTTCATAAAATATTTGATAGATGAGTCAATTTTAAAAAACTTTATTGCTACAAGTAAGAAATATTTACATGCATTTCATCAAAATTTTATTTTATTTACAGAAGTTGAACCAACATGCATGATATTAATTGAACTCGAGCATTTATAAGTCACACTGATAAGTCATATATCATTTAGCCAATCATTAACAAAATCATTTAGATGCTAGATTTTTAATATATTCAACAGAAGTGCTATTTATTATATTATTTTTAAAAAATTGAGCCCAAAAAATAATATGTGAAATTAGAGGTATGTTGGGAAATTAAATTCTCCACTACTACTTGACGTTACGTTCGGAATCCAATGAAGTGAAGATATGTGGAGATGATAGAAAATTTTTTTAAATAATCATTTTTGGGCAGTGGAATATTTCTTTCGCGTTATTACTCATTATTTAGATATTTTTGTTCTGGGAATATTCCAAGTAATAAAACATGATGAATATTCTCCTGTATTGTCGGGCCGGATCATAAGAAAACGTGTGTTTCCCAGAAGCCAAGTGTCCGCATATACGTAGCTCTATGTTAGGAGTCCTCATGTAATATTTTTCCACTTTTAATCTTTTACAAACAGAATCGAGTTGCAGAGAATGCAAGAAATACATTAAAATCAATGAAACAGCGAGCTCCATCGTCGATTCACGCATACGCCATTGAAAAATCCTTCGTGCGCAGATTCAAGCAGCAGAATGCAAGAAGAATCAATCCATTATACACAAATTTTTACCAGCAATTAAAATTCTTTAATTCGCCGTTCAAGAATCTCAGATTTACAGATTCCAACCCGGCAGCACTACAATTTCAGTTTGCAAACACCGAAACTGATTCCTAAGAGATTGAAAAAGAGAGAGAAAGAGAGGGGAAAGAAGAGCACAGATCAGAAGGCAGCTTAATAAAGAGCATAAATGGAGGAATCAAGAAGAAAACTATGTCCTCCTGACGCAATTTCTGAGCAATTTGGAAGCCAAGGTGCACTTAAGCCTGTAGTCCTCCCCGTTCCTAATGGACTCGCTCACGCACATTTCCCATGCGCCGTAGAAACGCAGGCATCTGTGTCTGCTCATGAACGATTCGAAGGATTCATCGGGATTCAGCCCCATTCGCTCCTCCCTCACTGCACTGTTGAAGAAGTCCATCGCCCACCTTCCGCTAGAGGATCTGGCGGGATAGAAGGAGTGGGAGGAGGAACGGTGGAGGTTGGATCTCTGAATCGGCGAGGAACGAGGCAGGTTGGAGGAATGAATCGGCGTGGAAAGGGGGAGGTTGGAGGCTTGAATCGGCGAGGAACGGGAAGAAGTCGGCTCCTGTGAGGTGTTCTCGACGGATTGGGGATATTCAGAGGGAGGAGAATAAGGAGATGAAGGTGAGCGGGAGGAGGAAGAGGAGAATGGGCGGTCCATAGCTGGGAGTTAGGGTTTCGTGAGGTAGAAGAAGGAGGAGCTACTGGCGGCCAGAGAGATAGGGTTTGTCGTGCCACTTACGGGATGAGTTTATAGGTAGAATGGAGTAGTTCTTGAAATAGACCGAGCCGGGTCGGGCTGGGCCGGCTGAGGTTGTAATTTGTAAAGAACGCTTCATAAAAGCACTAATGCCAAGAGCCGAACAGATGTTATTCCTTTGTTATAAGTTGCAAGATACTTATATTTGATTCATTTAATCTTAAAACTTTAAAAGTATCTAAAGAACTTTTTATATTAATTTGAATATTAACTGACGAGTCTGAGCAATTATTTAAGTAATCCAAATCTGATTAAGAGATTAGACACGTAATAATTGAATCACTCCAGTCGAATTACGCATCCCTTTCAGCTTATATATGTACCCTGGCTACAAAATCTTCTTTGCTTTCATACTTCCCATCTCTTCTTCTCATCAATCACCTAAATTCTGAAATCCTAACCCTAGTCATGGACTCCTCGTCCTCCTCGTCCTCCTCCGTTGGATCTCCACTCTCTGAAAGCACTCAATCCCCTGAAAACACTTCACCGCTGCACTCCTCCTCCGTCGGATTTCCTCTCTTTGGAAACACCCAATCATCCCAAATATCCTCGCCGATCCCTTCCTCGTCGGTCGCAATCCCTAGCTTTGAGATCACCCAATCTATGCAAAACCCCCAATCCAACCCGGAAGCACAAATAGTAAGCAACGGACCACCGACGCTGATGGTCTCCGATGCAGAATGGAACCGAGAACTTGCTCGCTTGTTCTTCGATTTTAACTTCTGCTTCTTCATGAAGGGAGGGCCATGCCAGGAACGCTTCCTGAATTGGTATAGGTGCACGCACCGCGTCGTCTATGTCGGCGGGTACTTGACTGAATGCGCCAGATTGGCCGGCCTTCTTCGGGACTGTGCCTTCTCGAACCGAGATTACCATCAATCCCTTCTTGGGCATTTCTCGGAAAGAGCCTGTCGTGATAGAAGCCGTCGAGATAGAAGCCACCAGTAATCATGGCGGATATTCAGTTTTCCTCGTGATTGTTCTCTCTCTCTCTCTCTTCCAAGATTTAAAAACCAGAAGGTTTACTGTTGCAGTATTGATCTTGATTTCTTGAATTGCCAAAGAATCTTATTAGAGTTGAAAATTTGTTACTTGCAGTGATGGTTTATTTCTAATTCCTTAAGACTCTCTTTCTTGATTTCTATTCGTAAAACAATTCATTAATCACTTGTCTCAGTTTCCCTTCTTTCAAATTTAAGAAGACTAAGAAAAATATTTACTAACGAGGCTGTTTAAATTGCCATTATCATGTTTTTTAAGTACTGTAATAAATATATACATGTTAAAAATTTAAGTGGTATGCAAGTACATATAGGTGTTAAACATGTCAATTCATAAGTATATGTGGTGTGCATATAAATGCCTCATTTTCTTCTTGGATGGTGGATACTTTTCTTGAAAAATTCAAGTGGTATATAAGGAATTAAATATTGGTGGACATTTTCAATCAATCTATATTTTATTGCCTTTTTTATTATATTAGAAAAATTAATCTCGCTTAAAATTTTAAGGATTATGGATTAGAGACGAATGTCGGGCAAAGTCGAGATGACCGCTCAGTTGTCAGCTTCTCATGATCATTATTGTATGATTGTCATTTTTTAATTATTATTGTCTGACAACCATCACGAAAGCATCATCATCATGTAATTGTCATTATCTAACTGTTATCACTTGACTGTCATTACACTAATTGTTTTAGATTTTATTGTAAAATAAAGTGCAGAACTTTTTGTAGATTTTGTAGCTCACATTAATGTAACAAATATATTTTATAGAAGATATTTGTCCATTTTATAATTATAATATTTGAATAAAATATATTTTGATTCATCTATCAAAAGAGTAAATTGTCCTTAAAAATTTGGGAAATGCTTTACGTTGAAATGGAACTCTTTTCATCTAATTATTCGTACATACGTTTTTTTATTTTTTCAATATTCTTTTATTTATGCCATCTTGTTTATGATACTATATTAAGTATTATGGAGAAAATGATAAATACATTTAATTTATTTATATTGAAAGTAAAAGTGAAATTTTTTAATTTATAATTTGAAATTCGCAAAAAAAAAATAGAAAATATATTTTACTTAAACATTAAAAGGCATAAAAAATAAAATATAAAGAACATAAGATAATCTTCTAATTAAAAAATAAATTTACTCATAAAATTTAATTTCGACATAAAAATAAATGTGATCTTTAGTGATTACTTGAGATTAATATTTTTTTCATTGTTTGTCTTTGATTAAAAATAAAATATTTTGTCATGTTAAAATAAAGTATGAACATTTAAAGAATATTTAAAAACATTTAAATATTATTTATATTTTCAAAAGTAACTTGAATGATTTTTCTAATTTTTATAATAAACTTTTAATATAATTTTAAAAAATTAAGTAAATAATTATAAAAACAGGAAAAAAAAGTTGATCGAATAGTATAATTATAATTTTTTATGTTAACTTAAATTTTAACTCTATTGTTTAGCATTATTTATGTTCCATAAATGCCTTAAACATTTCAATCCTTAATAAATATTTAAAGTAAAAATTTATTTAATACAAAATTTCACTATAAAATATAGTAGTGATAAAAAAACCATTTTTTAAATTACTGATCGTCCAAAATAAAAGTAATAATAATAATAATAATTGTGGACTTTGATACATATATCATTCTTAAACGATAATTATATTTAATATCTAAAAACATATATATATATATATATATAAAAGCATTCTAATTAACTTTTGTCTGTTTTAAATGTTTTAAAAGACAATCTTGATTTGACTTCAAAACCTTAACTACTAAAAAAGTCCTCTTTACGGTTTCCAATCCTCCCATTCTTAACTCCGATCCGATCATCAATACCATCCTTCGATGACAACCGCTCATTCTTAACTCCGCTCCCATCATTAATGCCATCCGACGACGACAACCGCAAATCTCATTCCCAACGCTGCTCCCTTCGCTTTATGCTGATCATCTCTCGGCCTATATTTACTCTCCCGCACCTCTACAAATCAAGCTCCCTAATCAGAGGTGCGGACGATGAATGGCTGGGCGAGAGCTCTGCATGGCCATTGGACGACCGGACATAAGTATTTCTCCCCAAATGGGGAGTCAGCCAAGCATAAATGCCTTTAAGTTTGCTCCCCGTGCTTCAGTGCAATGGATTTGTTCTTCAAGTACGCTAATTCCTCGGGCTTTAGTTGAATTAGGTTCTTGTAGTTTACATTCCATATATTAAATAAGGTGCTTTGAGACATTAATAAAAAGAAACCTTCTTATTGTCGTAATCATATGCTTGCATGGCCTAAGCTATAAATGAATTAACCAATTTGGTTTATTTTCGTGATATTTTCCCAAGGTTTGTACATTTAGACCTCAATATTTTCAAATTCTATTGAAATTATTATTATGATGACTTCAAATGTGTTATGTGAAAATTCAGTTAATTTTTTTAATTTTTATTGATTTATTAATTGATTTGAATTTTAAATGTATTTTTCGTTAAACATTCATAATAAATTAAAATGTTCGCCAAAATCCTTTAAGTTTTAAACGAACACTAAAATTTTCAAGTCATTCTAAGTTCATTTGAAAATATTTCTACGAATTATTGATTTTATTAAACGAGTTTAATTATTTAAAATTTATTTAAAATACATAGTATATTTTAATCTCGAGTTTTAATAAATGAGTAGGAAGATTTTAAATTCTCATAGTATATTTGTAATTTTGACATTTTTAGATGTCTCAACATGAAAGTGGGTTATTACATGTTCATTTGTTATTAACAATTGATTTAGATCAGTTAGGTGAGCATTTGCTATTTGCTTGATTTAAATGTGAAGAAGATATAAATGTAAATTGGGTTATTACCAATATACCTACCCTAAGCATATGGCTTTTATTGAAATCTTACTATTGTATTCTCTAGACCTTGTAAACATTTCAAACTAGATTTTATAATTTTTTTTTTTCAAGATTTTAAGTGTTCAACTTGAAGATTAGGGTAGATTTATAATTTTGTAGTTTTCACACAATTTTCTTAAGTCACATAAAATTTCATTTGATAATTTTCAATTAGTATTAAATTTTCAAAACAGTAAATTCTATTATTTTTATGTTGATATGAAGTAATTAAATTTTTTTAAAAAATAAAAAGAAAATTATTCAACAATTATAGATTTGCAAATATACCTTTTCATGCAAATTACATTTTTAAATTGATTTATATTTTAGTCACTTAATTCTAATTAATCACTCAAATATAATTTTATGATTTCAAAGCGTGTTTTGATGATTTTTTTGAGATTTGGAGATAAAATGATATTTTATAAATGATAAATTGCAAATATACTCTAACACTTATAAAATGAGTCTTATTGTATTTGAGTAGAAGATTTTAATATTTTAGTGAATTAGCTTTCCATTAGTGATATTATCTTTTAAATTTCATTTATTTTTTTTAATTTTTTGTTCTTTATTTTTTTATTTTTATGTTTTTTATTTTTTTAATTTCATTATTTTATTATTTTCCTTTTATTTTTACTTAAAGTTTAAATTTCTTAATGCTTTCTAATTTTCTTTGTACTTAGGAAAATTATGAAATGTTATTGAAATCAGAGACTACTTATTGTTCCTCTCTTCTAGATCAAAAGGATTGGCTTGGATATGCACTCTGTTGCCCATCAATTTTGGATAATTGGTGTTAGAGGAACAATTTTTTTATGCTAATTTGAGAGATAGGGACAGAGTGAGTGAGTGAAAACATAGATAATAAAAGCATAATATATCCTTAAGCAAAGAAACACTCCAAAACATCATCAAAATTATCCTAGTACTTCCACCCATTATTGAATATGCAATTTCTCAATTAAATTAATTTGTGCCTTTTCATATATCTTCCTACAACAAGTGTTATGATGATGACATTAACACATTAATATTTCTTCTTGTAATGATGTTCTGCATTAAGCAAATAATCTTCATATATTTTTTTAATTTAATCTATTAAAAAAACATTATCATGAAGAAATGCAAATTTTTATTTTAAAATAAAAAAATGAGAATAATATTTTCTTCTATTGTGAATCTATTGATCACTATATTGATATAATTTTTAATAGCAGAGTTATGTCAGATTAAGGGTCTGCTTGGGGCAGCTGCAGCTTATCCAGTTTATGCTGATAAGCTACTTATCCTGATAATCTGGTGAAAAAATAGCTGATCCAGATAAGTTGTCTGTCTGTTTGGTTTGTACGTTTAAAAAACAACTGATCCTGGAAAAATGTCCAATCTGCCCCTGTTCTGGATAAGCTGCAGCTGTTTGGTTTGTGCGTTTTGTAAACAACCGATTTACAAATTTCTGCATATTTTTTTGATTAAATGAACAATCTGGTACGTTGATCCGGATATTTTTTATATGTAGAATTTGTGAAGTTGACACCACTACTTGAAGATTTTAATCCTCGACAACGGTCCCAAAAACTTGATCCTAAGCAAATTAAAATTTCAATTATATCTTTAAGTAGTAGGGATTCTACGCAAGCATACGTATCATTATCAAGTAATATAATGCTTTCTGATTAAGCCAGAAATATCGATCCCACGGAGATTGAGGTTAATCACAGCAACTTTCAAGAGAATTTCTAGTCTAGAATAACACGCACCAGCTTGTAAGGTCGATAAAGGTTTGGTTTTGATTATATCCTACAATTATCACTACAATAATACTTCTACTCCTAAATTAAAATACTTAGTGAAAATCAAAAAGTGGGGTGTAATATATTAAAAGTAAACTTCCTCATACGATGAAATTAGTGACATGTGTAAAAAGTAAAACAAGTAGTGAGAGTGATTGTGATAAATAAGAACAATTATATTATTTACCCTTACTAGAGATGCTATAAAGAACATTGGTTAATTTAAAGTTG